GGGTGATGTTTTTGACATTCTAAAGAAATGATGATTTAATAGTTGTAGAAAGCTCAGAAATGAAGTTCAAAGTAGTAAAGAAAAGATATTTAAAGAGCTCAGGTGACAACTTAAAGATTTTTTTTTTTTTAATGTGTAAAAAAATGACAAATGAGTATATAACCCATGATCAATAGAAGAATTATGAAGTTTTGGGAACTACTATGTTTCTGGTTTATGCAGAAATACTACATAATCCTCACCGTAATCTTGATAAGTTTCCTCTGTTTTGTAGGTGAGAACTCTGAGAGTTGGAAATGTTAAGTAATTTACCCAAGTTGTACAGAGATGAACCTATTTTATCCTAGAGGAAGATTTGTTGTTATTTTAGTACTTTTTTTCTTTTTAAACTGGGCAGCGATATTTTGTTGTTGGATGCTGTTGAGGCAGCTCTGAGTCATAGCGACCCTATGCGTTACAGAACAACTATGGTCCTCACAGTTGTCACGCTTCAGCGTGTTGCTGCCACTGTATCATTCCATCTCACTGGCAGACTTCCTCTTTTTCTCCAACCCTCCACTTTGCCAAACATGATGTTCTTCTCTAGGCACTGGGCTCTCCTGGTAATATGTCCAAAGTATGAGAGACAAAGTCTTGCCATTCTGGCTTCTAAGGAGCATTATAACTGTTCTTCCAACACAGATTTGTTTGTTCTCCTGGCAGTCCATGGTACTGTAATATTTTTCTCTTTAACACTGTAACTCAGATGCATCAATTCTTCCCTATTCATTGTCTTAACTTTCACATGCATATGAATTTATTGAAAATACCATGGTTTGGGTCAGGTGCACCTGAGTCCTTAAACTGAGGATTAAAGAGGTATTTTGTAGCAGATTTGCCTACTGTAATATGTTGTTTAATTTCTTAATAGTTCTGAAGAATTTGAAGCAATGTATGGAATTTTTGTTTTAACTCAATCAAGAGAAATGCATTTTTAACTATTTATAAAAGTCTGTTTTAGAAATTATTATGTTCCTTGTTTCTGTCTTTATTAAATCAAAATCTGGATAACTTCTTTTTAAGGATATTTTAGGCAAATTCCTGCTGTGACTAAGAGGTTGGGCTGTATGGACTTCTGATAGTTATGCTTTTATGAGGTTAGATTTCTTTTTTTAAAGTTGTATTTGTGTACTTAAATACAAATTTACCTCATATGAAAGAACCATAACTTTATGAACTCACAAAGTGCTGTAGCAATCTCTTAAAAATAAGGTTTTCCTTATATTTTGGTAGGTTGATAATAGGATTATAAATTTTAATTATTTTTCCGTAAGGAACTCTGTCTTTCATATAATCAAGATCCACAGTTATATATCAATTTTTTTGATTCATTTCAAATAGCTGTATTTTTTTTTCAAAGAAATTGAAAACCGTAAACCAACCTTTTCTCCTTATTCCTTGGCCATGTGAAAATGAGGTGGCAAATGTAATAACTGGCCGTTGTAGTGATCTTAACCTTACTTAGATGGTAGCGGTTTGTGTGTGCCTCTAACTCATAGTGGTTGTAGAGATCAGAATAGAGCCACCTCAGGCTTTCCTAGGCTGTAATCTTTATGGGAGTAGATTGCCAGGTCTAGCTAGTAAGTTCAACCTACCAATCTCTGGATTCATGCTGCCAGAGTGCCTCTCCGCTTAGATGCAGGGTAATACGTACTCCTTTGGCTTCCTTCGAAAAATTTATTTTATTATTCCTAAACATTTTGTTATTGTTGGGGACTGATATATATTATTTTGAAACATCTTAGAAGGAAGGCAGATATGATGTTTTAGATGTAAAATCAAGGGCTCAAATCCTTTTTAAAGGAGTATAATAGATATAATGGATAGTGTACATCAGAAGTTATAATAGTATAACTTAATATAATACTATAGGATCAGCACAGGACTGTGAACCACACAGTCTGCAGTTCAAACCCAACAGCTGCTCCTTGGAAACCATATTGGACTTGATGGCACTTAACAACAAGGAGCTCTGGTAGCGTAGTGGTTACGAATCGGGCTGTGAACCTTAAGGTCAGCGGTTCGAAACTACCAGCCACTCCGTGGGAGAAAGATGAGGCTTTCTACTCCCATAAAGATTTACACCCTCGGAAACCCTCTACAGGGTCGCTATGGGTCGGAACCGACTCAACGGCACTTAACAACAACAATAGCAGCAGACTAAACTAGATAGGACAAACGAAAAAAAATCCTCAAAGATGACTTTTGTTCTGTGACATTTGGGTTACAAGTTGAGCTGCTGACTCCAAGGTCAGCAATTTGAGTCCAGTAGGTGCCGTTTGGGAGAAAGATAAGAATTTCTGCTCCCATAAAGATTTATAACCTAAGAAACCCTATGAAAGGTCAGTATGAGTTGGAATCCACTACACAGCACACCAGCACCACCATGTAAAGCTAATATCCAGATACTCATAGTGGTTACGAATCGGGCTGCGAACCGCAATGGTCAGCAGTTCAAAACTACCAGCTGCTCCGCGGGAGAAAGATGAGGCTTTCTGCTCCTGTAAAGATTTACAGCCTCAGAAACCCTGTACAGGGTCGCTATGAGTTGGAACCGACTCCACGGCACATAACAACAACAACAACACCCTGATTTGGAGTCCAAGTGTGGTACTTAGGATAAGCACTTAACTGCTAACCACATGGTTGGTGGTTCAAATCCACCAGCCACTCACTCATTGGAAACTGTATGGTAGTTGTGTGTTTCCTGTTTGATTCAGACTCAGCGACACTGGAGAAGGACAAAGGCATAATGCTTGGTAAAGTGAAGGGTCTATGACAAAGAAAAAGACCCCCAACAACACAGATTGGCACAGTGGCAGCAGCAATGGGCTCAAGTCTAACAACGAATGTGAGGCTGGTGCAGGATGAGGCGGCACAGGAGGCACTCACTCATCTCTGCCAAGAAATGTGCAAGACAACTATCTGGCCAACTGATTGGAAGTGATCCGTATTTGTGCCCATTCCAATGAGAGGTGACCCAATGGAATGCGGAAACTGTCGGAAAATATCTTTGATATCCCATGCGAGTAAAGTTTAACTCAAGGTAATACAGAAACGGCTACAAGCATATATTGACAGAGAATTTCCAGAGATTCAAGCCAGATTCAGAAGAAGCTGTAGAAGGAGGGATATCATTGCTGATGTCTAATGGATCTTGGCTGAAAGCAGAAAATATCAGAAAAATGTTTTACCTGCACTTTTTGATTACACAAAGGCTTTCAAATGTGTGGATCATGACAAGCTATGGACAACATTGCAAAGTATGAGTATTCCGAAACACTTAATTGTGTTCATGACGAATCTGTACCTGGACCAAGAAGCAGTTTGTTCTAATAGAACATGGGAACACTGAATGGTTTCAAATTAAGAAAGGAATGAGACAGGGTTGTATTCTTTCACCATACTTATTCAACCTGTATGCTGAGCAAATAATCTGAGAAGCTGGGTTATTTGGAGAAAAATGTGACATCAGGATTAGAAGAAGACTCATTAACAACCTGCGATATGCAGATGATACAACCTTGCTTGTAGAAAGTGAAGAAGACTTAAAACATTTACTGATGAAGATCAAAGAGCACAGCCTTCGATATGGATTGCATCTTAATGTCAAGAAAACAAAAATCCTCACCACTGAACCAACAAACAACATTCTAATCAATGGAGAAGAGATTGAAGTTGTCAAGGACGTCATTCATCTTGGATCAACTATCAATACTCATGGAAGAAGCAATCAAGAAATCAAACGATGTATTACATTAGGCAAATGTGCTGCACAACACCTTTTTAAAGTGTTGAAGAGCAAAGATGTCAGCTTGAGGACTAAAGTATACCTGACCCAAGCCATGGTATTTTCAATAGCCTCATATACATGTGAAAACTAGACAGCGAATAAGGACGACTGTAGAAGAATTGATGCTTTTGAGTTATGGCATAGGGTGGCCAGTGATTTGATGGCACCTAATGGTCGGAATCAACTCGACAGCACTTAACAACAACAACAACAACAAACAATAACATGCCACCAGTGCTTCTTGAGGACTTCCCACAGAACTATAGATAAAGTATTTGAAAGTGTTTTACATTGATGTTTCCACATGCTTTACATTTCTGTATTTATTCATTTTAACATTAATTTCTATGATTTTACTGATACTCTTTTCAGGGAAAAATCATCTTAAGTATAAAAATAATTCATTCTCAGTGCAGTAGATGATAATAGCAATACAAATTTGAAAGCATCATTTTTGTAGAAGTAGTTAAATTCAACTAGTTTTAGTTTAGCATCTGTTTACTCAAGTTGATCTTTGTTTATTCTGGTCAAGAGAAAGTAGAAAGCTGGTTTTATGTAAAACAATTTAATGTCTCCTGTGCCCCCAGGGAGGGATTGTTTAGAGAAAGGTCAGCGTTTCCTTGAGGCTGACAGTTTACAAGAATGGATAATGATGCACCTCCAGTCTAGAGTGGCCCAGTTCTCCTTTGTGGTGTGGTGAATTTTGTATCATGCTCCAAGTACTGAATTGCCAGCACATCCAATGCTGAGATTCAAATATACTCCATTATCTATATTATTGCTTATTCTCTTCCACTGTTCTCATATTTGTGAGTTGTTTCTGATTGGGCCTCTTGTTTGCAATGGATATTCGTACTTCAATGGATTAATGTAGGTAATCTTGATGTGTTGTGTTTTTCCCTCACTAAGAGAGAAGATTGAGGTTGTTAGACTCCAAGATAATAATCTTGAATACCTATTTACTAGAATTTTGCTGTCTTAAGGTCACCTTATAAACTATTAAAAATTATATTAAGGTATTCTTGATTGAAACCTGTTATTGTGTAAATTGTTGTTCTAAACTGCATATGAATATATGGTTGGTGGTTGGTTATTATTTATACTGCTTATATAAAACATCCTTATGAATGCTTACAATTACATGTAGTTTATTTTTCTATTTTTATAGTCCGTTCGGCACTTGAAATACTCCTTGTTTAAGAAATCACTGCTGGGCAGTGTGTCGGACAATGGGATAGTAACTCTCTGGGATGTGAATGGTCAGAGTCCATACCATAACTTTGAAAGTACGCACAAAGCTCCAGCTTCGGGGATCTGTTTTTCTCCTGTGAATGAACTGCTGTTTGTAACTGTAGGACTGGACAAAAGGATCATTCTTTATGACACTTCAAGTAAGAAGTAAGTGTGATATGCTCATTTATTATTTTAATAACAATTATCTCATTAGCACACATATTTGTAACTTGTAGAGACCTCTGGTTAATGACTGGTCGTAGTGGTTATGTGCCGTGGAGTTGGTTCTGACTCATAACAACCCTATACAGGGTTTCCAAGGCTGTAAATCTTTACAGGAGCAGAAAGCCTCATCTTTCTCCTGCGGAACAGCTGGTAGTTTCGAACTGCTGACCTTGAGGTTCTCAGCCCAGTTTGCAACCACTGTGCTACCAGAGCTCCTTTGGTTAATGCTTGAAAGAATTAAAATTTGCATACCTGATTTATCTAGTAAGATAGAATTTTCTGTATTTCTTCTGGTACAGAAATAAATCGTGTATCTAGGGGGCTGAGTATGTTTTAGAACACTTCTGGATCATGACCAGTGAGGATGGCACGTTGTCGATTCCACATCTTTATTTTAGCATGCATTATTAGCTTAGTATGAGGTGTTTCTAAAGTATAAGTAAGTGGATATAGTTTAAACTAATATCAGTAATTTGATCTAAAATTCATTTTTCTCTAGAGTAGAGTTTCTAAATGCTTGTCGTTTTGGGCTGGATAATTCTTTGCTGTTGGGGGCTGTCCTGGGCTGTCCTTGCTAGATGCTACTTTTGACAATTCAAGTAAGAAGTAACCACCCACAGTTGTCAGATGTTCTCTGGGGGACAAATGTGCCCCCATTTGAGAACCAGTGATCTTGAGCTTCTGCTGTTGTTGGGTCCTATCAAGTTGACTCCTCCTCATCGTGGCCTCAAGTCACCGAGTAGAAGTGCCCCCAGGTTTCTGTCATCTTTATGAACAAAGGTTGCCAGGTCTTTTCTCTTGTTGAGCAGCTTGAGCTGTCAACCTTTTGGTTAGCAGCTGAGTGCTCAATTGCTGTAATACCAGGACTCCTTGATTTAGAGCTAAGGGTACATAATCTTCCCAGCATCTGACCTCAGTATGTTTCCTTTCCTTGTTGGAGATCTGAGTATGTGTGTTTAGCTAAAACACAGCTACCAGAGTGCTGCAGTTATATTCAGGATGCTTAACAATAGCTAAGTTATTGTGGGATAAAATGAAATGTTACTGTTAGGAAAGGTCTTACTGGCAGCCTTTGTTGTAATTTGAGATTTTTTACTCTTGTTTATTTCACGTTTTTCTTTTTTTCTCTTTGAAGTAAATGACTGAGAATCCTAAGAGTCCGGAAGCCAATTCTCTCTTATATCACATATGAGTTAAGAGCTCAGCTTCACCAGATCAGCATCTATATTTCTGTATATGCTACCTCAGAGAATTAAGCCAAGTGGATTCCATTCCTCTTACCTTTTTGGTCAAGAGATGTACAACTAAGGGCAAAGTAGCAGCTGCTCCCCTGTGAAAGGTCATAGTTCTCTTGAGGCTTTTGCAAGCAGATCAATAAATGGAACAGGACACGTAGAATCTCCTCAGCCCTGAGGCTAGAGCACTAGTTTGTGGAGTAATGTGGAAAATTTTACATTCACTGTCAAACTAACAGTAATCACTCAAAGCAGTAGTTGCTGTTTCTAGAAGGTGTAGACATGTACCTGATGGAAGTGAGTAGAAAAATAGAATGGGACACCCAGCAATTTCTTTTGCTTACCATATTCTTAGAGATATCTCTAAGTCAAAAAATTTAAAATTTTAAATTGTGCATATTATTTGCCCAATTCTAAGTAATGTTGGTTTTGGTATACAGTTATTTCTGTGTCATACAAGCTTACATACCTGCATGCAATCACTTATCTGTAGACACTTTGTTCTCGTTTCCAAAGGCTAGTGAAAACTTTAGTGGCTGATGCTCCCCTGACTGCGGTAGATTTCATGCCTGATGGAGCCACTTTGGCTGTTGGGTCTTCCCGTGGGAAAATATCTCAGTATGATTTAAGGATGTTGAAATCTCCAGTGAAAACCATCAGCGCTCACAAGACATCTGTGCAGTGTATAGCATTTCAGTACTCTACTGCTTTGTCTAAGGTGCGGTTTTGGTTTTTGTATTTTTGATTTTACTAGCAAAATGTAGCCTTTGGATATGTAAATTACAGGTCATTAAACATGCTTTAGTTTTGTTTTGTAATTATTTTCATGTGATAATATTTAAAAATGTTTTGAGATGATGTATTAATTCGTTTTTCAATTATTTTCTTTTTATTTTTCACATTTCTCTCTCCTAAAATTTTTTATGTGCTTTTAATTATTATTATTATAAACTCTCAGATCCATTGATAAGCTTAACACTTGTTAGAGAAGCGATATGTGTTTTTAATCTAATTGGGAATTTATAAAATATTAATGTATAGTATGGGACATTAGTAAGCTGAGCTTTTAAATATTCCATTATATTTCAGTCAAGTTTAAGTAAAGGCGCTTCAAATAAGCCCATGGCAGTGAACAAACGAACTGTCAATGTGAGCAACACCAGTGGAGGAGCTCAGAATTCTGGAATTGTCCGAGAATCCGCCACCACTTCCATTACCACAGTTCCACCACAGCCCATGACAACAGTTGTGGGGAAAGGAGCAGTTGCAGTTCAAGAGAAAGCAGGTAAATATTGCTTATCTAGAAGATCTTGTGCTCTCTCAAATGTATAAAATTAGCACTTTCTTCAAGAACTTAGGATTCAAGTTCGTGTGAGTACTTAAAGGCAAAATTATTAGTAGATAATACATAGATGACTTGAGCTCGAAAATAGAAAAATAAAAAGTTAATGAAAGGCACTTCTTCACTTCCTATATTTAGCAGAACTTCTATTGTGAGAAATACGAATTTTCGTAAAAGCAGAAGTCATTCTTAATAATACTACAGACTGGGATGACTTTCCATTGAGTCATCAGATGAATCAGAGATTATGAAAATTTTATACATACATCATTTTGATTTGATCTCCAAGTTAAAAGAAAAAGAAAGCAATTAGTGGTGCCTTTCATTCCGTATCTCAGAGTAGATAGTCAAGTGGGTAAGTGAGCACTTTTAAGGGCCTAGTAGTGCCTAGCACATAGTATGTTAGTGGTTCGTTGAAGAAAGATAAGTTTTAAAGTTTCAGTTTTTAAGGATTTCTTATTAATCATATTGATAAAACAGTTATGAAGAATTAATTTGTACTTTGTAAAGGTGAAATATGAGAAGCTTCGCCATACTTACTGTAGAAAATATTCTTTGCCCATGATAAACACCGTATTCTGTAAATGTCTTAAACCCTTTTATTTTTGGTTTTAAAAGTTATGGTATTCTGTATGCTTGCAACTGATATTTATAAACGTTTATGTGTATACCAGTATGTTTCCACAATGTCCCGCTCATTAGCTATATATATATATATATATATATGTATCTGTGTCATTTTTAGCTTTCAGAACATCAATATTTATTAGTGCTTTTTCAGTATGCACTTTCTAAGTAGAAACATAGTTTCAATTTACTGTCATTGATAGTATGAATGATTTTCAAGATACTAGGTTTATTTCCTATAAATGTTTTATGAGTGTATCATCCTTAAGAGTCATTGCATATTATAGGAGAAGAAAGTTATGTCCTTATTTAAGAACTGCTAAAAACAAATATACCTATTTGCCACACACACACTATAGGGTTTTTTGTGTGTTTTTTTTTCCCAACTGTGTTGCTGTAAAAAAAAGTTAGCATAGCATACTATGAAAATACCTTCTTGGTAGGGCATTATTAGCAAAAGAAAATATAAGGCACTGAATAAAAATGTGGCTCTTAAAAGAAGAAAGTTTTTCCAAGATTTGAATTAGCTATATTATGACAATTGTATTTTTCAAATTTTATTTTATAATACTTTTGTTAATTAAAAAAAATAAAATATGTCTTTAATGTAGAAGCTTTACTGTTTCACATTGTTTTTTTAATAAGGAGGCTTATTTAATGGGCATCATTAATTAGGACCTGAAAGACTTAGTTGTCAGGGTCACTGATTAATGATAACTCCTGGTTGCATAGTGAAATTTCTGGCAAATTGAGTGCTTGCTCTGCCCTAATAAAAGATAGACAATTTTGTTTTTATTAATTTTATTTAGAAATAATTGCAAACTTACAGAAAAGTTTAAGAATAATACAAATAACTCCTGAGTTGCAGGAGAAAGGAGAGGCAGTTTTCTCCTTTGTAACAGCTTAAACTCATGGTGTAAATACACTTTAATGATGGTAATGCACAAATGATTCCGGTGTATTTTCACTTCTACCAGCTGCTCATTCAAAGTGCTAAGCCTATTGAGTAAATTCCAACTTTTAGCCTGTGCGGCTGGGTAGAACTGCCCCATAGGGTCTCGAAAACTAAATCTTTATAGTCTTAGGCTTCCGAGTCTTTCTCTCATGGCTCAACTTGTGGGTTTGAACCACAAATCTCTCTGTTAGCGGTAGTACTTAACCACAGGTATTGTTAGAAAAGTTGATTTCCTTAGCTGGGGTGGACTGTTTTTAGACATACAAAGTGTTCTTTGTTTTCTTCCCAGGCTTTTCAGTTTTCATTTGGGATGGAGGTACCAAATTAGATACTTTTAAAAACAAACATGTTACCAATGCATATAATGCCAGACTTTCATAAAATCTGTGGAATGTTTAAAATCCAGTCCTTAACCAAAATGAACAAGACGCTACAGAGCCTGTCGAGTTCCTCTTCTGAAGTCTAGACCTATGCATGATAAACTACCCAAGAAAATAGACTGCCGCCTGCGTCTTTATTGCCTTTCCCTGTACTGTGCTTTATGAACTTGGTGCTCCCGTTTTCTTCCTCTTAGTAAACTACAGAGTGGTTCCTGAAGCTGTTTGAGGTTGAAGATGCTGAAGGCAATATTAAGTTCCCACCGTTAGTGAAGGAAAAAGAAAAGTCAAACTGGGAGAGGGAACAAATATTTTTTGAGTCCTGCTATAGGATAGGTGTTGTGCTACCTGCCTTGCAGACATTAGCTGGTTAGACTACTCAGAAACCAAAGTAACTGGTGTTGTGTAGACTTTGTTCAAGAGGGCAGTAAACTATACAATTTAGAAAATGTCCAATAAATGAGTAAAATACGGTGTTGCTTTATGAACAAATTATTAGAAGACCCCTTCATCTCCTGAGGGTACAGGCATTTACTGTGCTCAGCTACTAACCAAGAGTTTGTAGGGGTAAGTTCACCCAGTGGTGTCTCAGAAGAAAGCCCTGGTGATTGACTTCTGAAAAAGCAGCACAGTTCTACGTGGACACACACAGAATTACCATGAGTAGGAATCAACTCAATGGCCATTGATTGGTGTTAACTGACATAGTATTATATTCTGCCTTCTTTGAATAATACCTGCATTAATTTTTAGAAACTAGCTTTTGGTCATAAAATTAATTTTAAATGTAATTAACACTTTTTTTTTTTTTTTTATAAATATATATCTAATTCCTATAAGGTTTGCTTCGAAATATAAACACAGATATTTCACGGAAGGAAACAGACAGTGGAAAGAATCAAGATTTCTCCAGCTTTGACGATACTGGGAAGAGTAGTTTAGGTGACATGTTCTCACCTATTAGAGAGGGTAAGTCTCTTCAAATTGGAGGCATAGGCTTTGTTGCTAGTAGTCATCACATTTGTATTGTTGCTCAGAGATGTAGCCGAAGCTCCACTCTAAACGATTGATTAGTTTCTTAGTTTTCCTCAATTCCTGGAATGTTACCTTTTTCTTTGCCCTGAGTAAATTATGTCACTAAGATGTGTCACATGTTATCATTCCAAAATGGATGGTGATAATTTTCACATAGGAATTGTGCAAATAGCTGTGTAGTAGTATTTTAATTTCCACCAAAGTTGCTCAAAGGAAGTTTTATCTCCATAGGTAATGCTTTATTTATATTTACTTCGAAATAAATCTTAAAAACATTGAATGTTTTGATAGGCAAAACCAATCATCCTGTTCGTAAAAATTGTGAGTTGTTTTATTTTGGGGCTATGCATTGGATTGCTAACCACAAGGTCAACAGCTCAACTCCACCAGCCTCTGTTTTGGGAGAAAGATGAGCCTTTCCACTCCCATAAAGATTTATTGCCTCAGAAACTGTATACAGGGTCACTGAGTCGGAACTGACTCCATGGCACACAACCCTCACTACCACCATCAGTGTTTCATTGTTGTAGCTAAGTGCCTTCAAGTCACTTCCAATTCCTAGCAACACTTTAGGGTTTCTGGAACTGGCTGGTGAGTTTGAACTGCCAACATTGCTGTTAACATTCCAGTGCCACACCAGTTTAATGATTATTTATTAAATGTTTTCATGGAGAAATACAGCTAAATGATTGTTGTTGTTGTTAAGTGCCATTGAATCAGTACTGACTCATAGTGACCTTATGCACAGCAGAACGAAACACTGCCCGATGCTGGACCAACCTCACTATTATTGCCATGCTTGAGCCCTTTGATGCTGCCACTTTGCCAATCCATCTCACTGGGGGTCTTCCTCTTTTTCTTTGACCCTCCACCTTACCAAACATGATATCCTTCTCTAGTGACTGGTCCTTCCTGACAATATGTCCGAAGTATTAGAGACGAAGCTTGGCCATTTTGGCCTCCAAGGAGCACTCTGGCTGCACTTCTTCCAACATAGATCTGTTGGTTCTTTTGGCAGCCCATGACACTTTCAATATTCTCCTCTAACACCATAACTCAAAAGCATCAATTCTTCTATAGTCTTCCTTATTCACTGTCTAGTTTTCGCATGAATATGAGGTTATTGAAAATACCATGGCTTGGGTCAGGTGTACCTTAGTCCTCAAGCTGACATCTTTGCTCTTCAACACTTTAAAAAGGTGTTGTGCAGCACATTTGCCTAATGTAATACGTCGTTTGATTTCTTGACTGCTGCTTCCATGAGTGTTGATAGTTGATCCAAGATGAATGAAGTCCTCGACAACTTCAATCTTTTCTCCATTGATGAAAATGTTGTTTGTTGGTTCAGTGGTGAGGATTTTTGTTTTCTTGACATTGAGATGCAATCCATACCGAAGGCTGTGCTCTTTGATCTTCATCAGTAAATGTTTTAAGGCTTCTTCACTTTCTGCAAGCAAGGTTGTATCATCTGCATATCGCAGGTTGTTAATGAGTCTTCCTCCAATCCTGATGCCACATTTTTCTTGATATAACCCAGCTTCTCAGATTATTTGTTCAGCATACAGGTTGAATAAGTATGGTGAAAGAATACAACCCTGTCTCATTCCTTTCTTAATTTGAAACCATTCAGTGTTCCCATGTTCTATTCGAACAACTGCCTCTTGGTCCAGGTACAGATTCCTCATGAACACAATTAAGTGTTTCGGAATACTCATACTGTGCAATGTTGTCCATAGCTTGTCATGATCCACACATTTGAAAGCCTTTGTGTAATCAATAAAGTGCAGGTAAACATCTTTCTGATATTCTCTGCTTTCAGCCAAGATCCATTAGACATCAGCAATGATATCTCTCGTTCCACGGCCTCTTCTGAATCCAATTTGAACCTCTCGAAGTTCTCTATCAATGTATGCTTGTAGCCGTTTCTGTATTTCCTTGAGTTAAACTTTACTTGCATGGGATATCAAAGATATTTTCTGGCAGTTTCCGCATTCCATTGGGTCACCTCTCATTGGAATGGGCACAGATACGGATCTCTTCCAATCAGTTGGCCAGATAGGCGTCTTGTATATTTCTTGGCAGAGATGAGTGAGTGCCTCCTGTGCTTCCTCACTTTCTTTCTTGAAAGATTTCAATTTTTATTGCATCAATTGCTGGTGCATTGTTCCTTGTCAATTCCTTCAATACACCTTAGACTTCTTCCTTCAGTATCATTGGCTCTTGATCATATACTTCCATCCTCTTTTGATGCTTACTGCATCATTCAATAATTTGCCAAGAGAATCCTTCAGTAATGAATTTCGAGGCTTGAATTTTTTCTTCCATTTCCCCAGCTTGAGAAATGCTGAGCGTGTTCTTCCCTTTTGGTTTTCTGACTCTAGATCTTTGCACATTTTGTTGTAATATTTGGCTTTATCTTCTCAAGCTGACCTTTGAAATTTTCTGGTCAGCTCTTACACCTCCTCATTTCTTCCAGCTAAATGATAGAATGTCTTAATTTCTATGGGAAGTATGTAGGGAAGTACCGAAGGTTTTTGTTGTTTGTTTTTCTTGTCCATTGCTAGTAAATACTGCCCGGGACAAATCTCAGTGAGTTTGAGAAGTGTTGTCCTTGTTTAGTGCTGTCATTGAGTCAGTTCCAACTCATAGCGACCCTATATAAGATGTCCCAGAAGCAACTGGTGATTTGAACCAGCGACCTTGCAGTTAGCAGTACAGTGCTTATCTTAGTAACAGTATGTATCAGCGTGGTTCATACTATATGAACTAGGTATATTATTTGGGTGTGTTTTTGGTATTCATGTTCATACTGTTATCCTTAGTGGTGGCAATTATGTGCTGTGGAGTCAGTAGTGACTCATAGCAATCCTGCCTAGGGTTTCCAAGGCTCTAAATCTTCATGGGAGCAGAAAGCCTCATCTTTCTCCCTCGGAACCACTGGTTGTTTCCAACTGCCGACCATGAGATTATCAGCCTGATTCATAACCACTACACTACCAGAGCTCCTAAAGTACAGATACTATACTTGATCTTAGCCAAAATAGTATTATTGCCAACAGTATAAATACATGTCTATTGAGTAACTTGGCAAGGTTAGCATATTCATACCTTTTGGGCCTGGTAATTCATTACTACGGATTTACCCTAAGAAAAGAATCCATGAAGACCACAAAGATTTGTGTTTGAGTTGTGACATCCACTCATGATTGTATATGATGTCCTTTTTACTTTAAAATTTTCTAAGTTTTCTGCAATTAATTTCATAATCGGAAAGAATAACATGTGAGATGGTACAGAATGATTACTGAAGGAGCGTCTTCTACTTTACTCTGTTCTGAAAATGACGGCTCACCTTGCCCCGTTGATACCCCATGTTCCATGTAATGGAAGAGGAAGGTTTCATTGGGGATGAACAGGCCAGAGTACATTATTAAGAGTAAAAATGGATGTGGGTGAAGGAGGGAAGAAAGTGGCATGGGCTGGTGTTGAGAAAGGTTTCTGGGGATGGCATGAAGCTTGGGGCTTTACCCGTGAGAACCCCTGAACCACCTGGTGAATCGAAGTGTGTTCTAAAGGGCTTAATAGAAGTGTGTGATTTATAAATTAAATCCTCTTTAATGATGTTTAAGGGAAATGAATAAAAGGTGGAATTCCTTTTTAATTACCTTTGCTGTATTTAAAAATGTGATTAGAATTTGAGCCCTATGCCTTTGTACTCATTAGTATTTCATAGTATTAATAAGAAAAACATGCATAGTAATACATGGTACTGGTTTTCATTGTTGATAGATTTATCTTTTAATCTCAAGGATGCAGCTCTTTAGTAAGGTAAAAGGCTTAATCTTGTTTGTGCCTCAGTTTCTTCATGTTTTAAGTAAGTTAAATTCACTGCTTTTGCTAAGAGAATAAGTTAACCACTTCTAAAAACATATTTGTGTACATAGACACACACACACACACCTTAGATAGATAGATAGATAGATAGATAGATAGATAGATAGATAGATAGATAATCTTCTTAATAGGATAGTCTTGGGTGTTTGTTCGCCACTAGGATTTCTTGTGAATTTTTATTTATGACCTTTGCTCATTTTTTTTATTCATCTGTTAAAATTTAGTTAAATACTTTTTCATATTAATTGCTAAGTGAATAATGCTGTGGTACTGAAATATTCTTACTAAGTGCCATCGAGTCAGTTCCGACTCATAGAGACCCTCCAGAGGGTTTCTAAGGAACAGCTGGTGGGTTTGAACTGCCGACCATGTGGTTCACAGTCCATTGCTGATCTTACAGTGTCATACCAGGAGTCCTATAAGAATATACTGCTTGCAAATTATTTTTGCATTATTTCTTTTGATCCTCAAAATAAACTTGTGAGATGGTCAAGTCCATATCCCCTTTTTGTAGATGCTGAAACTAAAGCTTAATTGCATTAAATACTTGTTCAGATTCACAAACCTATTAAGTGGTATAGACAACTAGATTATAGGTCTCCAGAGCCTACTCTAGGGCTGTGTCTATTATGCCTTGCTGCCTCATTAAATAAATGTATACTGTAAAGTTATTATTATTTTTTCATATTAACTGCTATTTATGAAGCTAAAAGAATAACAAAGGGAACTTGGCTTTAATCTCATATTTTCCTTCTTAAAAATGTTTAGTCTCGGAACCTTTTGGTAATAAATAAACTTACACCGCTTTTTTTTTTCTTTTTCTCCGTTTTTCAAATTTGCTTTTCTAATTTTGTTATAGATGGTGTAGTTAACAAGGGATATGATGAGCCCACAGTCAAAGGAGATGGTAAGAACTATTAAGTATTTTTATGAAAATTTAAAAAGGATATCAAGTTATCCTTGATGTATAACACATTGCCCCAGCTCTTTGAAACTTAGAAAACCCCAGACATGTATTATCTCATAATTTGTGTGTGTTAGGAACCCAGGTGCACCTTAGTTGAGTACCTTTGGCATCAGGTCTCTCTTGGTGCTTCAGTATGACTGGCAACCAGAGCTGCAAGCATCTCGGGGCTCCTCAAGGATCTGCCTACAAGCTCATTCATACGGAGATTGACGGAAGATTTCACTTCCTTGCCACGTGGACTTCTTCACAGGACATCTGGCTTCCCTCAGTTGAAATAAGCAATAAAATGAAAGAAGGCATCCAAAAGATGGAACCACAGTTTTTTTTGGTATCCATTCTGGTGTAGCATTGTAGGATAAGCACTGGACTGCTAACCTCAAGGTTGGTGGTTCAAACCCATCAGCTACACCTCAGTAGGCCTATACAGGGTCCTTATGAATCAGAACTGACTCAACAGCACTTAATAAATACAACAGCAGCAGTCTTGGAAGTGACATCCCATCACATCCCTTTGTTATAGAAACAAATTATTAGGTACAGCGCATAGTCAAAAGGGGATTATACAAGGGCATGGACCCAGAAGGCAAGGGTCATCAGAAGCCATCCTAGAGGCTGCCTACAAAGATATGTTCTTCAGCTGTATTCTGTGTTAGCAATTTTCATTTCTCAAAAACAAATATTCATTTTATTATGGTTTCCAAAGTATTCTCACAAGCCTCATCTCTTTTAATCCTTACCACTCTGGAAGGTGGTGACCATAATTTATATTTGTAGATCAGGAGAAGTTTATGGTTTTTGCTAAAGAGTATCAAGAAGTCCTGGCCTGGAGATGTAGGACAATGCACTGGACCAAAAGGTCGGCTTGAACCATAAGTTCGGCAGTTCAAACCCACCAGCCACTCCTTGGAAACCCTATACAGGGTTACTATGACTCAGAACCGACTCAACTGTACTTAGTAACAACAATAACATACATATCAAGTAAAGGGTAGATCAGGTAAATGAACCTTTCTTCTGAATCAAAATCCTGTTTTCCCACCATATTAATGTGCTTAATGAGCTTTTTTAAAATTTGAGATTAGGGCATACCTTATGCAAATTAACTTTTTTCTTCCTTTTTTCAGGCCTTGATTTTCTACCACAATTAAACTCAGTTTTTCCTCCCAGAAAAAATCCAGCCACTTCAAGCCCTTCTGTATTACACTCTAGTCCTCTTAATGTCTTTATGGAGTCTCCAGGAAAAGAAGAAAATGAAAATCATGATCTGGTGACTGAGTCTAAGAAATTGTATCTAGGCAAACAAGAACCTAAAGACTCTTTCAAACAGGTATCTCCTTATAAGCGGTACTGAAATCTGTGTGCGTTTATCAGTAGCAAATGTAATGGAACTGCTCACTGGAGAGTGCAGTTGGTAGCGGATTGGTTTGAATTATTTTTAGTGTTGTCTGTGTAATAGGTAGATGCATGTTCTTTACTTGTGATGTCATTTTCTAATGAAATCTGTCCTTGGAGATGTTGAAAGTAACAGCAGGTATAAACTTTTTTCCCCCCTAAAACAAGATATTTGATATATTTGTCTAAGCAGGAGCATCTGAATTCTTGTAGAATGCATTTTCATTTCCTTATAACATACCAAATTGGTGGCTTGTGTCATTTGCACTAGGTCTGATTTCAAATTGATGGCACAAATAATGAAATTCATCATCATTACCTTCTGATATAATAGCATATTCAATATAGAATTTGATTTACTTTGGAAGGATTCAAAATGATGACTAGTAACAGTATGTAGTGTGTGGGTTTTGTTTTTTTTTAATGTTAATTTTTTAGGATGATATTGAAAAGCTCATTCAAGAAGTACAAATTTTTTTCCCCCAAATATTTCTGACTAATTTCTATGTGTATTTGGGGATTTTTTTTTTTTCCTGCTATCATTTTCCATTTTAAATATTAAACAACAGATGCTTAGAAAATGAGATTTTCCTTATCACTGTATCATCAAGATTATTTTTGTTAGTAAACTTGATTTATTTTGCTGTTAGTTTCAGCATTTTTGTTTTTCTATATCCTTCCTTTCATCCTTTTCTTCCTTCTATCCCTTGACCATATGAAGAAAACCAGAAATCATATATTAAAGTGATTATTTGTTTTAAATATAGTTTGCAAAGTTGATCTCCTCTGGTGCTGAAACTGGACATTTAAATACCTCTCCCTCATGTAACCAAGCAAGAGGTCCTGAGAAATTTGAGAAGTCAGAGAAAGAAATAGAAACCCAGTTGATATACGAACCCCCCGTTGGTGGGTCCTCTACGCCAAGTAAGTACATAAAACTTACTGATGTTTAAAAAGGTTGCTACAAAATTCTGGTTATGTAACTTGAAATGTATAAATGAATGGAATGATCATGAATTAAAAAAGCTTCACGTTTCTAGATACTGCTCTAGTGTGACTCTTCATAGAAGATGATGAAATATGCAAGTAGGACTGGTTAAGTTCACCTACATTGTTCTAACACTCTTTGTGTGTGAATTTCATTCACAGCCCATTACTTTTACCTGCCTTCATCAAATATAATCTGGATAGAGTTACAATGTAGGGGACCTTTAGCAGGGTAGTTAACTGATATAAGGATCCCTGGTGACACAGTGGTTAAGTGCTTTTTTAGGTGCTAACCAAAAGGTTTGTAGTTCGAACCCATCCACTGCCCCATGGGAAAAAAGTATGACTGTAGGCTTATATGAAGATCATGGCCTTGGAAACCCTATGGAGCAATTCTCTGTCATAGTGTTGCTCTGAGTTGGAATTGATTTGATAGTGGGTGGTTTTAACTAGCAAATACTTCAAGACTTTTTTTTACTTCGTATTAAAATTCATGTCACAGACCCATAAAAACCTGATCACATTTAAAGGGATTTTAGGTTCAGCTATAAGAATTATGTATATAAAGCTTTGTATAACTTTGTACAACTTTTTTTTTTATAAAAACCTGATCACATTTAAAGGGATTTTAGGTTCAGCTATAAGAATTATGTATATAAAGCTTTGTATAACTTTGTACAACTTTTTTTTGTATAAAAACCTGATCACATTTAAAGGGATTTTAGGTTCAGCTGTAAGAATTAGGTATATAAAGCTTTGTGTAACTTTGTACAACTCTTTGTATGTTGTTGTTATCAAATGCCGTCGAGTCAATTCTGACCCACAGTGACCCTGTGTAGGGTTTCTGAGGAGCGGCTGGTGAGCTTGAACCACTGACTTTGCAGTTCAAACTGACTTTGCAGTCTAGCGCATTAACCCACAGTGCCACACCAGAACTCTAAAGTCTTTGTATAGAAGAACTCTTTTAGATAGCATTTATTGTACGTCAATACTACAGTAGTTATTACTGTAATCACTTAAGCTACAGGGTTTTGCCTTTTGCTCTCCTTTACTGCTATTTTGTTTTTAATAGTTTTTGTTGATCTAGTTTCTGGTACAGTTTGTCTCATTCATCTTTTATGGAGGAAATGGTTCAGAGTTTTCTTCAAGATCAATCCCTTTGTCATATATTATTATGTTCATTAGACATTGGCAGTTTATATATATGGATAAATGACGGTTACAGATGGTCTCATAGAAAGTTTCTAAGATTTGTATTCCAGACAGTGAATTTTAAAAAAATGTCACAGGAACATTGTGGTTTGCCAGTTTTTCTTATGCCAAATCTTATTTAGAAATGTCTGATGTCTTTTATTTCAAGTTTACCATGAATATTGTCTTCATTCTTTGTTTCAGATCCAAACCTAGCATCCTCTGTCACTGCTGAAGTTGCCAGCTCACTGTCAGGAAAAATAGCCGACACCATTGGAAATAATCAACCAAATGCCCCACTGACATCTGTTCAAATCCATTTTATTCAGAACATGATACAGGAGACACTGGATGATTTTAGGTTTGAAAATTTTATTCTATCTGTTGTTAAGTACCGTTGAGTTGGTTCTGACCCATAGTGACCCTGTACAGGGTTTCCAAGGAGCAGCTGATGAGTTTGAACCACCGACCTTGTAGTTGAAAGTAACTTTGTAGTCACCTCAGCACCCCATTAGGACTCCATTCTTTCTATCTCGACTGTAACTTTTTTTAATAGACATAAAACTAGAACTATAAATAATGTTTAATAGTTAACTGTTTTTGCCTATTTTCTAGCGTCTATATATGAGTCTCTGCTATTCATAGAGTTTTCAGTGACTAGCGATTCGGAAGTAGTTTGTCACTCTTTCTTCTTAGTCTGTCTTTGTTTGGAAGCTCATCTGAAACCTGTCCACCATGGGTGACCCTGCTGGTTATTTAAAATACCGGTGATATAGCCCTCAGAATCACAGCAATTCAAGCCACCACAGCATGACAGGTATTTTCAATAACCTCATTTGGTTGTGAAAGCTGGACAGTGAACAAGGAAGATCGTAGGAGAATTGATGCCTCTGAGTCTTGGTGTTGGAGGAGAATACTAAAAGTGCCATGGACTGTCAAAAGAACCAATAGATCTGTTTTAGAAGAAGTGCAACCAGAGTGCTCCTTGGAGGCCACGATGGCTAGGCTTCATCTCTCCTACTTTGGACACATTGTCCGGAGAGAACAGTCGCTGGAGAAGGATGTCATGCTGGGTAAGGTGGAGGGTCAGAGAAAAAGAGGAAGACCCCCAACGAATGGATCAGCCAGGTGACATCATTGATGGCATCAAGTGTGGCAGCGGTAGTGAGGTTGGCCCAGGATCGGACATTGTTTCGTTCTGCTGTGCATGGGGTCGCTATGAGTCGGTTCTGATTCGATGGCACCTGACAACAACATATATGAGTCTATACATGACGTTAGACAACATGCATTTGTTGCTATTGATGTACTGTGTTCATTACTTTTCAGTCAGGAAAGAGCGGTCACCCAGGACAATTCTTAGATACCTGATGTGGAGCAGTCTGACACACAGGCTGCTATTGTGGATTTTTAAAATATTGGAATGTAGACAGATTCTGGAATCTCAAACAAGGTTCTTAAATACAGTACTTATAGATTATCTGTTAAGTATGCTACATTTACTATATAACATGTTTTAAAAAGGAATTCTGAATATTTGCAAATAGAATGCATCTGCGTGGAACTTTAAATTTAGAAAACTTCGTGCCTGGATCTCCCCTTGTCTTTTTCACTCTTATAATTTTGGATATTATAAGAATATGTCCTAGAATGCTGGAAATGCAGTCAGATGCCATGTCACACCCATTTAATGGGGAAAAATTATAAAGTCTTACAGTGTGTAGCAAGAGGAACTCCTGTACTGATGGGCATGTCCATCGTATTACCTCAACAGTTTGCATGACTTTGTAAAACTGACCAAGTGTACAACTGGTTCATCCCTATGACCCCGCATACTCCTAAATACTTTACCTAAAGAAATCAGTGAATGTGTACTAGCAGATACATACAACATTGTAATAATAAAATTGGAAACAATCCGATGTCAGATGACGAGAATAGATGGATTATTGTTGTTGTTGTTAAGTGTCATTGACTCGATTCCAACACATAATGACCCTGTCTAGGGTTTCCAAGTGGTGCTCTGGGCTAATGCGTCAGACTGCAAAGTCATTAGAACTGCAAAGTCGGTAGTTCAAGCTCACCAGCTGCTCCTTGGAAACCCTATACAGGGTCGCCATGGGTTAGAATCGACTCGATGGAACTTAAAAACAACAAGGGTTTCCGAGGTGTGGCTGGTGAGTTTGAACCACTGACCTTGTGGTTCATACCGACTTTGCGGACCAGTCCATTATCCTACAGTGCCACACCAGGACTCCAGATGGATGATACAGCAGTACAAATCAGTGAATTACAGCAGTGTAAGTCAGTGAATTTCATATACATATACCATGAACCTTGAATACATAAAATTATATATATATATGTGTGTGTGTGTGTGTGTGTGTGTGTATGTATATCCCGTAAATATTTACAGCCTCAGAAACCCTGTGCAGGGTTGCTATGAGTCGGAACTGACTCCACGGCACTTAACTATATATATATATAAATAGGTATGGTGCTATGGGTTAATGTGCTGGACTGCAAAGTCATTTGAACCTCAAAGTTGGCGGCTCAAGCTCACCAGTTGCTCCTTGGAAACCCTATACAGGGTCGCTATGGGTTGGAACCGACTCAGTGGCACTTAACGACAACAACCGTGTGTGTGTGTGAGTCCTGCTGTGGAACTGTAGGTTAATATACTAGACTGCTATGTTGGTTTGAACCTCAAGGTCAGAAATTCAAGCTCACCAGCTACTCCTTGGAAACCCTATATAAGGTTGCTATGGGCCGTCATTGGGACACACACACACACACACACACTCCTTGGAAACCCTATATAAGGTTGCTATGGGCCATCATTGGGAGACACACACACACACACAC